GGGTATTTGCGGTGTCCGGTCCATAACTGTTTCATCTATCAAGGGATTTTGAAATTACTGTACACAAATATTCACAATAATAAGACGACATGTGATGTGTGACACCCTCAGACCCCTACGAACGGTATTAGAGATGTTCCAGGAAGTTCCATTATAGACACACAATTATGGTGATTTTATGTGGATGTGAGTATGGTAAGACTGGCTTTTTGATAAATAATACTAACTGTAACGTTAAACAACTCATCGCCATTTCATAACTGGTGTACTCGTTAGTTAGATATCAGACTGTTTATGTTAAAACAGACACCTTACTTAGAGCATTGTAACACCGCACTTTGGGGTCAAACGCACTTTGGGGTCCGACCCCAAAGTGCGTTAAACTTCGCACCGCACTTTGGGGTCAAACGCACTTTGGGGTCAAAATCGAGAAATTGACCCCAAAGTGCGTTAATATGCTACATATCAACGCACTTTGGGTTCCAGAGGTCTTAAGGTGTAATCTGATTTCTGCTTAAATACTGAGAACTGACTTATTTTCGATCTTCGACATTGAAATATTTGAGGTGGAGTTCAAGATGGCGGTCAATACTTTGATGATGCTTAAGTGATAAAAGTTTCATTAATTTTACCATTTAAAATATCCAAAAATAATAATAATTGTTCATATAACAAAATTACGGTGGCATAAAAGTGACATTTGCATTTATTTTTATTTAAGTTTTGCATACATATTTTTATTTAAGTTTTGTATACATATTTTTTTCAGTTTTGCATTCATATTTTTTTTTTTTTTGAGCTTTGCATTCATATTTTATTAAAGTTTTTCGTACATTTTTTATTTTGGATTTTCGTACATATTTTAGCCAATCAAAACAGCCTTCACATCTCATAACAGCCCATAGTTGAGTATAAAACTAGCACAGTAGTTTGGTTACATTTCGGCCCATTTTTTCGAATCGGCCCAGTCGTATTTGGCCGCGCAAGTCTGGTTTCGGCCGACCTTTTTCTGCCCCTTTTTTAAATCATATGTATTTTATATAATTAGTGTATTTTTTTAAAATTATTATCTACTATTATATTAGTGTCTATTTGGAAAGGGCTGTTGATTGGTGAATGAATATGCACCACTCAACCCCACCCCCTGAGTATAGCGGAGGGAGGGGCATTGACTTTAAACCAAGCCGACCACTGGTAAAATCTTCGCCCTGCGGGGGATATTCAGATAATAACATTCCTGCCTTATGCCCCGGAAAAGCGCAGACATCACACGATTCTTTTTTAACCCGCACTCCCCGGGGGCAAGGGAGGTGGTTACAAATGACTGGTGTATTACAATAATGCACAATGAAAGATCTAAATAGGTCCTTATATTCCACTGATTTAGAAAAAAAATATATATATATATACATGTATATACATGTACATGTATATATCAGAGACATAGATAATATTTTTATCTTTTTGATACCTCCAAAAATGAAAATGTTGGTATTTGCAAATGGCGTTTGCAAATGGGGTACTGTAATTTACAGATGGCGAAGTGTTTGAAAATGTTGTTTTACAAATGGCGTAATTATCCAAACCTCTACTTTGCAAATGGCGTCATATAAAATTATGTACGAAAAAAAGTTAAAAACAAAACAAAAATAAAATATGTACCAAAAACTCAAATAAAATATGCATGCAAAACTAAAATAAAATATGTATGCAAAACTTAAAAAGAATATGTATGCAAAACTTAAAAAGAATATGTATGCAAAACTAAAAAAAAAGTATGTCTTCAAAACTAAAAAAAAAAATGTATGACAAACAAAAAGAACAACAGAAAATATGTACGAAAAAAAGAACTAAAAAAAAGTATCAAAAACAAAAAAAAGTTGCAAATGTCACTTTTTTGCCACCGTTCAAAATATTTTAGTACAGAAATCGTGTATTCCTAAAGTTTAAAGATGCTGCGAAAAATATCCCGTTCTGTCAGTCATTTACTTGATAACTTTTGGTGCCATGTTGAGCTCCATTTTAAATATGTAAGGAATGAAATAAAAATGCAGTTAATATTTTTTTCCCCCTCCGTAACAACCGTTCGCCAAATGCTTTTTTAATGGGAAATCTTACATACTTCTTTAGAAAGATGAATTTTATAATGTTAAAATAATGGTATCAGAGAAATGTAAGATGCTTGTTTACCTGAATAAAGTAGCAATAAATGTGAAATTATTTGTCATAAAAGTAGTCAAAACAATGTAGTATTTGACTTCCATATAAAACATGTAAACTACTTATCACTATAACAGTACTGTACTCATCATTGTCAAAAAGCAACAGATGAAAAAGATGGTTCAGGTAATTGGCCAATGTGTATTTTTTTTTGATAATATAAAAGAACATCAAAATAAAAAAGCTGAAGAAAGACAAATAAAAGCATAATGGGCCTTTAAAATGTTATTTTTAAACCTCGGGGAGATCGATACCCCACAATCCCCTCTATACCCCCAGTGAGAATTTTACATTATTCTGAAGCTCGCTCTTAATGTGCGACTACTTAAATAGTTGATATTTTTTGACTGCCTGTTCGGACTACTACTTAAAGCCGCATCTTCACCTAGTCAAGTTTCTAATGTGTCACATTTAGCTAAATGAATGGCTATTTTAACATATTATCAGGCAAATTTTTTACTGAAATGTCTTACTAAGATTACCCAGAATTTATAACTTTGTCTATGCAAAGACTATCATATCTGTAAAATGTGTAAATAACAAACGGGAAAATGATGCATTTAGCAAAAAAAACAATGGAGTTAATGAAAGGTGTACATTCTTTTAAAATAAATGGAAAATTTTAGAAAAACATATTTTAAGCTTAAAGCTGCATGCCTCCAGATGAGTCAAAATATTTCAATTAAATCAAACTTGAGAAATATGTTCTACGATTATAGGAAATGTAAAATGATTCAAGATTCAAGTAATATTTTACATGTTATGTGCGGTCAATGACTGAGTTTTCAATATTTACAACTATATTCCTACTGCGTTACTAACGCATTAAGGGCTATTTATGCATATTTTGACAACTTTTTGGTAATTTACGTTAGTTATAAGTGCCATTGATAATGTGCAAATTGCTTCCTTTTGGTTATTCCACAATATTATACATTCAAATAAATTTTCAAAATTTTCATGAAAATAAGCGTGAATCTGGAGGCGTGCTGCATTGATACAATTTCTTTTTTTGGTGATTTATTTTTGTGAAAGTTCTTCACTTACTAATCAAGACCATTTAAATCCCTATTAATTCAGGGCACATGTTTTGTGTCTATTTAATACCTTGATTTTTGTTTACCATTGGCTTTGACTACACTATATTATTTAAAACATAATGAACATAAATTTTCTCTGACCCCAAAGTGCGGTCGTTTGCCTGATGTTGAAAAATGCATATGTACCTGTTTAACGCACTTTGGGGTCGAAATTGGACCCCAAAGTGCGTAACGCACTATGGGGTCCGACCCCAAAGTGCGTAACGCACTTTGGGGTTCGACCCAAAAGTGCGTTTGACCCCAAAGTGCGGTGTTACAGAGCATATTTCCTGGTTTTATTAAGTGCAACTTTCGACAACACCAACAATGGAATAATCATATGGCGACTTTAAGCATTTAAGGTGAAGAGGGAAATTATATTCCACCCGTGCACTATTATTTTAACTTTGGACTTTAAAATATATCCAGATTTAGCCATCGATCAGATTTACGAGCGTTGTTCAAAAAGAAATAAGTCTCATTTTCATTTTAAAGGTGCTTCACTGAGGTCACAAAGTTTAAAAGCATTAAAATAGATCAAGTGCAGCACTTAAAATTGAATATACTCAGATTAAATTATAAATCGATTTTAATGCGATTGTTAGTGTTGCAACGCTTTTCATTTCTGGTCATATTGCACAATAAAAATGATTATTCTGAAAAAATGGAGGAAATTTGCATACAAGTTATTTGTCCAGACCTACATCAAATAGCGCATAAATCTTGGAGAAATATTTTTAGTCCTGACATGTAAACAAACCTCAGTCATGTCCCATTTTGTTATCAGATATTTACGTTACACATCAAAACGTCACTTTTAAAAACATAGAACAAAAAATGAAAGAAAAGCATTACTTCATTGCAATATAATATATCGGGTGTATACAAATATTTCAATCCTTAATCAAATAATTCTTTTCTTGTGTTATCATGTTCGACATTTTAATGCACTTTTAGAATAGTTTTGTCAAATCACGGAAAGTACTATTTAAACACGAACAAACACGCTTATGAATCAAATGAAAAATAAACCCACAAAATCGGATTCATGAACATTGAAACGTTTTGTGAATAAAGATTGTGTTTTTTCTATTTGTTAAAGATAATATTATCATTGTCTACCCTAGATAATTAGGCTTAAGTTATTTAATGTATTATTCTTTATTTTATTTTACTATGAACTAGACTTTTACATTACATAAGGTCCCTCTATGGTCAAATGCTTAAGGTTACACATTTCGACACTATCATTTACATTGGTTTAAATTGACTGGATTCAATTCTTTGAAAGGGGGATTTATGGCAAAGTGACGAACGGGAGTCGGTCGTTTTACACAGTGTGTCCGCTTAAGTTCAGAGTATTGCATGGAAGGGCACAAAGTATCGCCATACATGAGTAAGAAGGTAGAGACCTAGCTTATAACTGTTGCTTTATCACTAATATTTTTAAGTGACCAAGTTTTTTATCAGTAATCTAGTTTCTTGAGAGTATACTAGTTCTATACCGGTGACCAACCCCGTACTCAATAGCCTTGCTCTTAAATGTTGGCCAACCTCTTGCCATGTGGCCCGACTCTTTATCTGTGCCTTAACAGTGACCTAGTTATATACCGATGACATTGTTATATCGAAATGACATTGCTATTTCGACTTAACTAGGTTTTGCATTTTTTGTTACAGAATTACTGCCACTGAGCCTGCTTAAAGTTGAAAACTCAAATGCTTACCTAGTTTTGCCCAACTTATTACGACGCCCTCTTTTGCGTGACGTACAATGTTATCTAGATATATGCTTTCATACTCCTTTGGTATATGCTCCGCCACTTCTAGACTCATTACCCAATCATATAATGGTAAACCGTATTGTGGGAGTGTCAGATCGAGATATTTTACCCTTCCCTCGCTTGTCTTCTCACTGAATGGAGCACCGTCGTAGGCGTCATATCCTTTAAGGAGGCCGGAATCTGTCAACAGTTGTTTGTAACGACCTGGTCCATCTCCAAATGATGCTATATATTTACCTTCAAATGAAAACATTTATATCATGATAATTATAATGCATTTAAAAAAGTTTTGTCCTTCGTAGTACGCAAAAAAAAATATTCATAAAGCTAATTCAAGACACATTGTGTCTCAGAAACAAATACTGTTTCCGTCTTTAGAAAGGTCAGACATGAGTTTTTTAACATTGAAATAATATTAATTATACTTATCACATGGAGTAGCGCCGAATGTGGAATATTTGTCATAAAAGTAGCAAAATGCAACAAAGAAATATTTTGGCTTCCATACTAAATACTTACTACCGATACTGATCTCATTTTTAAAAGGCAACAGAAGCAAAAGATTGTTCAGATTTAAGTGGCAAATGAGTAGCTGTTTGGAAACTATTCCACTTGGGAAATTCAATTAAAGAATTTGAGGGGCATTACGGGCCTTTGATAAAGGTAATCCCATTGACTTTACAGCCACGTTGATTAACCCTTTCGCTGCCAGAGGGTTATTGTTTTAATGTTCACCTATTTGCCAGAGGATTTTCTAAGAAATTACTATATTGTTAATTAATATAATTATTATTATTTGTTATTAGTATTATAATAATTATATATGTTTCCAAATCTGTTAGTATAATAATAATTATTGTCGATGGTATAATTTCTTTATATTTATTATTATTTTTATTATAATTTTTATTAATTTATTATTATTACTATTATTATTATAGAAACGGCTAAAGCCGTCCATATGGCAAAAACGCCGAAAATAACAGGGTAAATGAAAGGGAAAGGGTTAATTATTGCAAAAAGAATATATAGAAACATATGTAAAACATGACTGTAAGTTGACTTTCAAATGTATTGGTCGTTCTAAATGATCGAAATTTTTTTAAATTGGCTTAATATTTTCCTTTTTCCAACTGCATGATAAATATATCAGAGACTTCTCTATGAGAAACATGTAACACAATTATTTATCGAGTAGAATGACAATGGGATAAATTAAATAAGTAGACACTGTGGTGAATGCGGTCATTAAACCCCATATATCATAACTAGGTTGTCGATGGTGGTCATTTGTAATCTTAGACTTATAAATCAGTCCGTTTTTGCTCGACTGTAAATTATAGGTACGGAACCATAGGTGGGGCAGGAAATTGTTTCGTTATCTTGTGACCACCTGATAACGCGCGCACACACACATACACGCACACACATGCACACACACACACATGCACACATAGAAGAAAAACAACAACAATAGCAACAACACCATAAAACGTGATGATAAACAGGAAACGAAAATCAACAACAACAACAACAACAACAGCAACAACAACAACAACACGAAAAAAGCAATCGTTACCACGTTACAACGGCATAATAAAACAAATCGTGTGTGTCCCCTTTGTGCTTCCGTAGGATTGCGATTAAAATAAACCAGGACGTGGCAGTATTTTATAGACAGAATGTCATGAATCTTCTGATCTAAGCAAACACTTTTTATATACATGTTAACTCGTAAGTAAACACGTTTATTCTACTTTTACTGATAACAAGGTCTGATAATGTCTACTTAAAGATGACCTTACACACATACATACATATGATATGATAAAACTTCAAATAGGCTTGGCTCGGTCTCAACTGATGGCATAGCTCATTCATTCTCGCCCCAGCGCTCAAATCTATAAAGCATTGTGTGATTTGTATCTGAAAACATTGTGGAAATGAACTCAACTGTGTCATATGCTCATTCTTTATATAAATTGAGAGCATATCTCTTCTAATCCTTTATAAAAAGATTTACAGCATATCGTTTCCCATTTTTTTTATAAACCGAATCGAAAGTACATTTCTGTTCATTCTTTATCAGAATTTAGAGCAAACCTTACTTTATTTATAACGATTAAGACCTCTGCCGCTGATTCTTTACAAGAATTGAGAGCATATCTCTGCTCATTCTTTATAAGAATCGAAGTATATGTATAATCATTCTTATTAAAATTTAGAGCCTAATTCTGCTTATTCCTTATAAAATTTAAGAGCATATCCCTGCTTTTGGTTCTTGCTTCTATAACTTGAAATTGACATTGGGTGACAGTAAAGTTATGGGTTAACCCAATTTGCAAAGGCTACCGGAATTTAGAAAGTTCATGAACGGTACATTAATAAGTATAAAATCACCCTTATTAATCAAATTTGGGTCAAATAAATTATACCATTTGATATCAAATCAAATATTTAAGATACACCGTTGCAATTCCTTTTTACAGTTGAAAATAGCATGTAGGTCGTGAATCATCAAAGGTCGGGAATGAAGTCTCACAAGTTACGACAGCAATAGCTTAATATTTAAATCCTTTTATTTATTCCGTTGATCAAACCTTTTTTATTAAAACAAATATACTGAGGAGTGCAAAATATATTAAATAACACATATGTGTATAGCTTTTGTCCAGATAACGCAAATTTATTTAATAACAGCATGACATAAATATGTCACAAGTCTGGCTGACTTTCAGTACGGGACTGGCTTCAGCGAACAGGTCTAACAGTACAATAAAACCTAAGAAAAAATTGAGAGCCTACCTCTGCTGATTCTATCCAATAATTGAAATTACACCTATGTTCATTCTTTATAGAAAATGTGAGCATATACCTGCTCATTCTTTATAACGATTAACAGCATACCTTGCTGATTCTCTATATAAATTGGGATACGAAATAAACTAATTGGTACCTTTGAAAAAGTCAGCGAGTACAGGAGCAAGTTTCTTGTCAGTTTTATGATGACCAGAGTTCTCTATGCTCGTATTAGCGCACCAACCACCAGTAGAAGAAACCTTGTGTATGTCCTTCTTCTTCATCATTTCCTTAAAACGAATAATTCAAAATCAATTTATGATAAATATTCTCAAATTCACATTAATAAGTTGATATTAAAGAAAATGACTGCAATTAAGGACAAACGACAATTTCGGACACTAACTCTACACATGAAGACACGTAATAATTGTTTGATTTTTAACGCAATACTACAAATTATATGGTTGTATCATAATTTGGGGACCTTTCTTAGAGTTAAATCGTATAGATTTACATGCACAGTGCAAGCTCTTTCTATTACTAACATATTTTCATTCAAAATTTTAGATCATATTCTTACATCTCAGTCTGATTGTTCCCCATCAGCTTTAATTTTGGGTGCCACTTTAATATGCTTAGAAATTGGTGAGTGTTACAGAATACTCGCTTTGATGTTATGTATTAAATCAAACCAAATGAAATAAAACATGCAATAAAGTGATATATTCATTTGGGAATTATAATGTTATCTCTTCTTTTTTACATAAAAGAGTGTCCAAGTTCCCCACTTCTGTATGTACCTCCCTGATTTAACTCGATTTAAAATTTGTAAATTTTCGAATAAACCATTAATAGGGAATCACTCTGCCATCTTTATAAATCTATCTTTATGCCCTTATCTGTTTGATAAGGCTTGTGAAATACAAACGCGAAGCGAAACGGATCACAAAACTTCCCCCACTGAACAAACAAATATGGCCGTACTATCTTGCACAGTCAATGTGATTTATGATTTTCCTTAATGCTGCAGACAAAGGCACGTATCATTATAGGATTGTATCTTAAGTAGTTTTCTGTGTCCAGTCTAATTTCCCACTGTTTTATTTCCCTTTATCATATTCATAAAGATACGATATCTGATATATTAAATATTTACTCAATACATTAAGTATGCGTCGCATTTTTCAATACTAGGGCGGCGGATCCTAAATTTTACTTATTTAATTTAGTTTATTAAATTGTTGTTTATACAATTACGAAATACACTTGAAAACATTTTTTTTTATTTTATGACAGAAGGCACTGTCGGACCGTATTTGGTACAAAAACGAATATGGTGCAAATTTGTACCATATTCGGCCGAATATGGTACAACTGTCTAATTGTACCATATACGTATCTGCAGTTTTGGGGTAAAATGCCTGACCAAATATGTTACAAACTTGTACCATATTCGGATGAAAAATGTACCACATTCGTTCCGAATATGGTACACACTCATCATCGTCA